CGTTCTCGCCCGCCGGACAGCTAGGGGTGGCACCCCGGCGCGGATGGTTGCAGGGTGCGCGCGTGGATTGAGGAAAATCGCTTGGTCCTGCGAGAGAGCGGTGCCCTTGCGATTCCTGTGCTTCGCGCGTTCCGCCGCCCCGCCTTGCCCGCGCGACATCGCGGCGCCGCGCGCCACGGACCCTGCCGGGTTTTGAGGCCGCGGTCGATCGGGAGTGGCGGCCCTGCAAACACCGGGGCCCGAGGGCCCCAAATCCACGAGGCTGGGATTGTTTAGCGGGATCCGTTCGGAGGTTTCCGCGTTTGCGAGGGTGCGAATGCAGTCATGCGCGTATGCGCTTTGTGACCAGCTGTCGGTGTATAACATGAACTGGCGCATGCGTGTGCAACCAGCTTGCGGTGGTTTATGGATTGTTTACTATGCACTTGCGCATCATGGTCTAGCATTAAGAGTGCATCGGCATGTGTAGATATACATGCATAAAACAATGCGTGTCAAATTAACAACGACACGTTTGACGAATCAAGAACATAATATTTTCTGTCATAGTTTGGAATAGTACTACTATGTGTTAGGATTACATAGTAACTATATAATCTGAATGCAATAATACAATTTGTAGCATACAATGATATACTATCATATTGTATTCTAGTATTCCAATTGTGTCATATCATGTTTGTTGTCTGTCCTTCTCTCACCGCATCCTGGCACGACCGAGCGCGTCAAACAATGCTGCGCAGAGAACCGAGAGCTTGGTTGGTCAGCAAGAATGGATGCATCGGCAGATGCGTGAAGCCGCTCAGAGTACGCGTAGGGATGGCATTGACCTCCCTAGTGCTAACTGGACGCCGCCTTGGGAGTATGTTCCGGATCCAGATCCATCACCGGACAACCCCAATCGGTTTGGATACGTGCCAGCATTTTTCAGTCATCCGACATACAATCCAACGGCTGCCGACCGCCCCACAGCAGCACCAATGGACTACCCATTTTATCCTGACTATCACGCTCAGATAAGTGGCACTCCCCGAGTGGGGACACAGCCCGAAAACCCGCATGTACGGGCGACGGCCGACGACTTCGACCAGCCTCAGCTGACGCGTGGCTCAGGGCATGCATCAGTATCAGGCGTGCCAGGCCAGATCCCTCATTATGGATATCTGGCCGCCCCCGTGGACCAAGATGTGCAGCAACAGGCCCCAGGCCTAGTAGTGCCATCGTCCATGGGAGGGCTACGCCCTGAGATCTTCGCCATCCATGAGGCGCAGCAGGCCAACATGGCGACGCAGTCTGCCCGCCAGCGTCGCAGACAGGAGCGTCAGGCTAACAGAATGCTGAGCCGTGCGGGGCAACCTGCTTTTTCCAATACTGCAGGGACACCTGCGATCAGTCCAGCCGCGCTCGCAGCAATGCAGCTACTGACGGTTTCACCGATTCGATACGAAGCTGGTGAGACCACTCTGGAGCGCCAGACGCGTATCAGGCCATCGGCAACACCGCCCATCGTCAGTGACGGCGACTTCAGCAAGTGCGCCATGTGCCTGGACCATTTCATGAACCACGATAAAGTCTGGAGGCTCCAGTGCGGCCACATATTCCACGCACAGTGCTGGGGTCGAGTTGCACATGCTCATGTGGATAGAGTTGGCTGGGAAGATGGAAGGTTCCGCAACTGAGGCCCCCTGCGCCATATGCAGGGGGTAGGCTCAATCACAGCCGAGTTCCACTACGCCCTCGCTGGAGAGCAGGAGTCACTCGACCGCCATGAAGATATACTCCGAGGGTCGAACGAACTCAGGGACCTCCGTGAAGAGCTCAACCGCGTCACGGCAATGATGACGAGCAGCGCGGTAGTCTCAACAACGACACCAGCGGGGCAACCTGCATCATCAGCCAACGCGGGGCTAGTGACGGAGGCCACCACACTTGCAGGGACACCTTCTGTAGACACGCCTATGCCACTGCTAGCAGAGACAGCTAACAATGCAGGTACACCTACTACGTCAGCGCCACCTTCGGCGTCGGTCAATGACACGCGTTTGAGGCGTATGGAGAGGGCTACTGATAGGAGCGCTCAGTGGCTTCAGTCTCCACGTACGTACATGCCATGTGGGCGAGACATTCGTCCACGCAATCAGCGTAGGACAGAGAGCCCAGTGAGCGTGCGCAGTGGCATCAGGGCGGTATCCGAACGCGACGTGCTGCATACTGCGTTCATGGTACATACAGATGGCAAAATGGGCATGCGAGCAGACGAGGATACGTTTCCGAACATGCCCACTACCTCTGCATCACGCCCATACACATATGGCGAATATCTTACAGCCTGGACCTTCCAAATTAATCTTATTACGGAGGCTCGTGAATATATGGGCGTCTTTTTCATTTTGCCACGAAACGACTAGGTGTTGGAGCAGAGGCGCCGCAAAGGCATGCTCCGTACGACACTGTCTGAAGTGCCAGGGCTATTTGGTGAACGCCACGAATTGGCCTTGGCAGCAAACAGTGGAATTATGAATAATCGCATGTTGCTTATCCTTTTGGATATTGGCAGCATGGGCGAATGAGGCCCCTGAGGCCCCTGGCGAGGAACCCTTTTTTCCTCTCAACATAGCACTTGGGCCAAAATGGCTTGCAGCCACTTCAGCTCCATACCCTTGCTAGTTCGCAAAGGGCCCCACTAGGCCCCCAAACGGGGGCCGTCTAGGCGGGCAACTTTAACCCATCAGGTCTCTCACCGCACCTTTAGCACGGCACATGTTTACATCTATCTGGAGCCTTGAGCGGGACCCCGAGGGACCTTTATTAGGGCATACATACACGCACACCCCCATCGGAGTCGCGTCGAAATCTCGCCCGACTCCGCTCACGTAAATTAGTGGTCCTCTCGGGCACCCATGCAGCAGAAACGAGTGCAAACCGCCCGTCAAATTAAGTAGCATTTCGCAGCACGAGAACTCGCTAGCGCCACCAAGGCTCCTCAGCTTTCAGGCGCTGAATCAAAATAAGCTTGTTGCCGCTGGTATTACAACGGAGCTTACGCAGTCTGCTCCTTATCGCATTGATCGTCAGATCATCCGCATACAGAGTAGAGCAATTCAGACACCCGCCTGGCGAATCATATCTCCTGATATATCCTGGGACCCTCGGCACATCCCTTGCCTGAGATTGGGGTCGGTGGATTGTCGATCTTCGAATTCGATATGGCGTCAGCTTTCTCGATGTAATGTCCAACTCGTAGACCTGCATAGAATATCAAACCACCAACGATGAAAGCTATCAGCATCACCACCTGTGTCGAAACAGAAACACCGTTCGACCGGTCCACCGTCTCGATCGTAGAAACCTCGCCAGTCGCGTCCGTGCCCTTGACCATAGTCAGTAAACCTCCCAAGCAGAGATCCATACCTCGACGAAGTTCGCCTTCGCCTCTGATAGAGCCTGCCTTAATATCTGCATGAACCTCAGACACCTCGTCAACATCGCCGCCGTCACTACCACGTAGACCCACGGCCCACCTGTGCTTCTCAAAAGCTGCCTTCTCTAGGTATCTAGTGCCCAAATCGCTGCTGTTCTCTGCTGTTGGGATCTTATGAATCACCATACGCCGCTCACGGAGCAAACCTTGAACAAACATGTGTCGAAGATGAATGTTCTTCAACTTCCCAAGACCAAGTCGGCTCTGATATGAAATCCCAGCTGAATTATCCGACTCTAATTGCAGACTGACCTGCTGTCCTGGAAACAATTCTTCTAGAAACGACTTCACGAACAAACCCTCGCACGCTCCTGAGCCCATGCTGTAGATCTCGCCTCGGCTGAAGATGTAGCTGGACTTGCCTGTGTTCTGCTGAAAGCTGAAACCGCCGTCTCGTTGACGTAGACGTGTCCGCTGGAAGTACTTTTCCTTCCGATCTCGTCGCCTGCCCAGCCGCTGCCTACCTTCACATTGAGAACGATGTTGTTCTGATCCTCCGGCACAATCATGCTGATGTAGTCCCTGGTACCGCTGAGGTAGCGTGCTGCTCGCTTAAGACGTAGGGCATTTCGAATTGTCGTCTGACTCATGCCCCTGCTGATCTCCTTCGTCGCGAACTGCAGGTCGCACCTCTCCGAGGCTACAAACAACAGCTTCGCAGCACCTGTCCTGAACTTCCCCGCGCCCTCGTCGTTGAACAACTCCTCGGCCTCATGCTTGGCCTCGGACATCAAACCTGGGGTCGCCACCGCTTTGGAATTCTGAGTTCCCATGTGCTCAAGAAAACTGTCGATTGTCTCTGGCGAAGCCCGAATCGAGAAACCCATATCTTTGTTGGGCTTCCGAATGATACGTCCCGAGTGAACCTGAGAACTACACATTGTCATATCTGGAGTGATCTTTAGCAGGGAGTGCTCGCCCAACGTTTCGAGAAAATCACCAGGTCCTTTACCTTCACCAATAACCATACCATCATGTGCATGCCTCGCCACAACTGTCGGCATATCCTCACTGACATACACGCTTGGTCCTGAAACCAACCTCCGCATGTTGAACTTCTCGATGTTGGTATGGCTGTAGTGGGCGTCGAAATCTACCACAGCCTCGTTAAGCCCGTGGATCGTGCAATTCAGCTTCCACGCGACGTCGCCTGGGTCTTCGCCATAGTTCTCGATGCAACACTGCTTGTGCTCAGCTGGTGGCTCGAGGAAGACCTTCTCCCGAATCGGATTGCGCAAGAAAGCCTTTGAGATATCAAAGAACTTCACCTTCCACTCCCTGAGAGCTGCCAGCGCTAATAGAACCATATAGACACCGTAGCGTACTCGCTCCTGGGGTCGGGGTGTACAATCGATTCTCCGGTTTCTCCGGCATGTTAAACGGCGTCGCGCAGATCCTCGACTTCACCCCCTCAGTTCTGGCTTCGTCGACCCAAACAACTGAAAGTAGGGGTCCGTCCACCGCTGTTCTGTAAACGTCCCTATTTTGCCTCGAACTCATCTAACCTGCTTAACTCCGCGTACCTCGCAATTGTGATTTCCTGTTCCGTGAACTTGCGAGTCATGATCACGCGCTTGTTCATCTGCTCGTCGTTCTCCTCCTCGTTCGGCTTCAGCTGCTCCACGACCTGAATGGACATCTCCACGTCCTCCTTTCTGGTTTGCCTAGCACTGCCAGCTTATTGAGCTTCCAGGTCTGCTTCGCGCTTCTCTCCACCACTGGCAGATTGCTCGCCGTAGAACCTAACCCTCGGAGCTGCTGGTGCCGACGAACTGGAGGCTGCCGCCGACGGTTGAATGCGGTTCTGTGCCTCATCTGCGGCTCTTGATCTGGGTGGCTGTGGTCTTGGACGCGTGCCTCCTCCGCCGTCTTCTCGATCAACTGCTTCGCGCTTAGGACTTGCAGCCGCTGGTCTCGCCCTCGGTCCTGGAGCTGCCTTCGTTGCTGCTGCTGGTTGAGCTGGTAGTGCCACCACTGTTCCACCAAGCCGTAACCTCTTGAACTCGGCCTGCCTCTGTAAACACGCCGCAGTATGAGCCGTTGGACGTCCAACGCGTCGAACTGGTGCTCGATCGTCTTCGCACGCCTGACACCCCTCGGTCGGTGTCCAGCCGGCTGTGCCGCGAACGTCCTTCAAGTCCGTCTGTGACCACATTGGAAACACCATCTTGTCGAACGCTTCCTTGTCCCACTGCAGCTCCTCTGGCCTCTTCTTCACCGCCCTTGCCTTCACGATGCCCAGCATAGTACCCGCGATGTGCTCGCCGGTAGCCGTGGACCTCCGAAGCCACACTCCAGCCTGCCACGCTGAAGTAAGCCGATTGTCTGGAACTCCAGATTTCTTCGCTGGGATATTCTCGGCAAAGATCAGAAGAGGGGACCTGTACTTTACCATCTTCAGATCCTCGTAGGCCGTCCTGCCGTTACGCCTGTACTGGAACCTGTTCTGAACGAAAGCGACCTGCCCCACGATTCAGCTCAAGATTGCGGAGTCGCCCTTGACCACTACATGCTACTTCTTTTGAACTGCATGTTCTTGCGTCCTCACCAGGCCCTCGATGACCTTCACCGATGCCTCCGCTAAACCGTTACTCGCATGTGAACCTGGCGCTGATTGCCGCAATGAAATTTGCGAGATAATATCCTTGGACTATTTGCTGCGCTCCTTGATTAACGCCTTCCCAAGAGCAGTGATGGACGGCTCGCCGTCGCTTTGAATATTCACCCTCGGGTAACCCAACTCTTCCAGGTAGCTGCTGAGAAATGCCACCGCGTATGGAGTCGGCCCCTTCGCTGGTACCTGAGCTGCTCCTGTGTAGGACGAGACGCTGTCCTGAATGACCAAGATCGAGCCGTCTCTGCGTCGCCACCCTCCAAGGCCAAGAAGCAGTAGTCCATGCCAAGAACTGGATTGGGTGATGAAGCTTCTCCTTGTCGCCGCCGAGGTTCTTCCTCCTGCCCCCGTCCGATGACGCAGCTGTCGCACCACGGCGCGTAGGGAACATGGGTAAAGTGCTTCTCCTGCTCCTCCTTACTTGGCAACTCTGGGGCTCGCATTGCAACTGCCTCCGCCGCTTTCACTGGAACTTGAACTTCTTCTCCACTCTCAATGAGACCTCCCGTAGGATGTCCCGACGGATTCGGCATTGCCGCCAGGTGGCTCTCGATGGTCTCGGCCGACTTCAACAGCTTGACCGAACCTGAACGATCCAGCCCTGCGAGGCAGTAGCCGCGTCCAACTCTGGGCAACTGAACTGTCAATCCATCCTTGGACATGTGGCCTTGATCGCCAAACTGGAACATATAACCTCGGCCCGTAAGCTCGCCAACTGAAGCGAGCGGCCCCCGAACATCTGCGACCACGAACGGCGCCGCCACTTTCAGCAGCCTTCCGCACACTGTCGCAACGTTGAACGGGACCAGCCGCTGCCCATACATTCTGATCCGCTTACCAGTAGCTGAGAACAACTCTGGCTCCTTGAACATGCCGGTCGTCTCTATGTGCTTCGCATACTCCGTGGGCGCCACATGCGCACACGCTCCACTGTCGAACAATGGATCGTCTTCGAAACCACCGATTGACATTATCGCTGTCTGGCTGATCATGAATATCCAACTTGAATCAGCTATCCCAGAGAACGCCAATCTCTCTCGACTGAGGCTGCGCTGGCGTCTGGTAAATGCTCGAAATTACACCCTGCTGCACACCTGCACTCGCAACTTCGTTACGAGTAGAACTCGGGGCCTGTCTGCAATCACGTGCGTAGTGACCTCGCTGGCCACAGCGGTGACACACAACATCTGCCTGCCCGTGTCCTTTGCCCGTCTGAGGCTTACCCTTGCCATTGTCCCTACCTTTGTTTTTCTTGCCCTTCGGGTCGTTCTTACCTTTACCCTTGTTGTCCTTACCTTAGCTCTTGTTATCCTAGCCCTTGCCCTTGTGAGTGTTGCCGATGTCCATTGGTGCAAGTCCTGAGCCCGCCGCGGCCGAACTCATCTGCAACTGCATGTTGTTTGGCATCGTATCCTTGAGCGACCCGGCCGAAACTAAAGTCTGTAGATCAACTTGGGCCTTGATGTTTGCTGATGCGTTCTGCTTCAATACTGCTTGCTTGAGCGTGTCCGAGAGCCTCTCGTTGCGTTGCTTCTCATACGTCTGACACATACTCTCCAAAATTTGAGGCTGCTCTGCGAACTTAGTCGAACTTCGCGTTGAGAATGCCCATCAACTGCGTGACCTGAGCTGCTCCCGTCGTAGGCCCTTCTAAACGAACCAGCTGTCGCCAAGCCTCGAGACCGCGATGCCCAGGGACAATCGTTACCAACTGAAGAGAATCGCCCTGTAGCACCTGCGATAAAATGAAAACCAACGTCCTGCTGTGTCCACGCCGAACCTCGTTTAGCTCGTTGGCTGGAATCGGGTTGATCCGACGCTCGGCCTGCTCTAAACTCTCCGAAAGGTCTCCGTCCAAAGCGCGCACATACGCTTTGAAAACGTACTTCCATCGAAGCCAGTCTGTCCGCTTTCCTGAATGCGCCTTCGGCGTTCCCAGCTTTGCCAGCAATTTGGTGTCCACAAGCGGCAATGGGCCGCCTTGATCACCCATAATTTCTTGAGTTTATCCACAGACTTGTACTCAAACACTCCTCGAAGTCGAACTTCGCCCAACTATCGCGGCTCGCCAGGAACCCGTGGATCACACCACGGGCTCCGCTACCATGCGCGAATGAGACCCTTGAGGCCCCTGGCGAGGAACCCCTTCTCCTCGCAACATAGCACTTGGGCCAAAATGGCTTGCAGCCACTTCAGCTCCATACCCCTGCCAGCTCGCAAAGGGCCCCACTAGCCCCCCAAACGGGGGCCGTCCAGGCGGGCACCTTTAACCCGCCAAGTCTTTCACCGCACCACTAGCACGGCACACTTTCACATCTATCTGGAGCCTTGAGCGGGGCCCCGAGAGACTTCATTTAGGGCATGCATACACGCACAGTAATATTAATATAATTGGTTGAAAGACGGCACAGGCCTCCGAACAGGTATCTCGCCCCCACGGACACGCCATCAAGAGGTTGAACCTGACGAAGAGGCTCTACGTGTCCAGAGTGGGACATGGCGCCGCGATATGCGATAAGTCCCTGCACTGCAAGATTGCGCGCAGAGAAGCGGGAGATCCGGCGGGGACACCTGCTGTGCTGAGACTTGACACTTACTCAGCAAATGTCGCTGAGGCTTCTGGGGGGAACCTCCCTGCTATCCTGGGTCTGAAGAACATGTCCAACATGGGGGCCATCTTGATCCTGGAGCAGGAGCACGAGAAGGTGATCATCCCTGGCTCTGAGATGCACAAGGCTCTACTTGGAAAGGGTGCCAGAGTGCTTGATATGATGAAGACTCCTTCTGGACATCTGGCACTCAAGGTCGACGAGTACGGGACTGCTACTGAGGATAAAGGGTCGATGTCGTTTCCAACCACGGCCAATCTTCAATGCGAAGATGATCCGTTGCTCGTCAAAGAAGCATATGGTCCAGAGCCAGTCGCGGGGACTTCTGCTATGAGTGACGCCCATACATATATGATGTCACCGGATATCAAGGGCATCAGCTCGTCCATCAACGAGGAGACGTTCACGTTCTCGATCCAGTCTCTGGTGAATAACATCTTGAAGACTTGGTATTGCAGGATTACGTGCTTCGGGAGCAATCCGACCTCGGCCGACAAGGACTTCGCATTGCGCAATTTGCAAGCGAAGATATATCAGGCCATCTACGAGGGGGGCACGAAGTGGACGCCGCCCGATGCACATGCAGGGACCAGCGGAAGGTGATGATGCCGCTGAGAAGTTTGATATGTTTACTTCGAGCAGCGGCTCTGCAGCGCAGCATGGCACCGGCATTCGGACGCCCCCATCGCCAAACGAGTGACGGGGGCAGGCGCGCGCCACGGCCACTCGCGATTGCTCAGACAGGCCGAACACTTAGATATTGTCAGCCAGCGCGGGGAAACCCGCATTATTTTCCCAGGCGCCGGCTGTGCGCGCCAGGGACAGCGGCCAGCCCGGCTGCGCGGCTGCCACGGATAGCAGCGGACCCGGCTGTGTGACCGCTGCAGAAGAAGAAGGGTTATCGCATCATTACCACTCTCGCGCATTTGTTATTGAGGACAAACGGACAGCTTGCGCTGAACTCCGAGCCCGTGGTTACATGTGTGACCGTATTACACGTACAGAGGTCATGACCTCCACTGGTACACAGTATTTGGGTGCTCTACTCTCGGGTAATTACCAACTGTCGTGGGTGGCTACACCTGCCGATTGGCATGTGAGACTGCCAGGCAAGCGGGCAGGGCCACATTATCAACGCATCCAAAACTCGATGACCAAAGCTGGGGCTCTACGTATGATTATTTTGCTTGTGGGACGAGGCAAGGTCCTAACGAGATGCTATTGAAGATCTTGATTTACAGGTCATGCGTATGCGATTCTGCCACTCCGGCCTCAAGTACGACAGTTCTAATACGTTGCCCAGCGGATCACCCGCACCACGACCAGCCTATGGCGGTGCACGTGCAAAACAGCAGGGAAACCTGCACAATCTACTGAGCATGTCCTGGATTGGCATGGACAAGGAGCTCAGAAGTCCGAATGGCGCAACAAGACCCTAGCGATCATGACCGCAAGGTTGATCGATCAGATGGATTTACACAAGACGCAGAGAAACCACACAAGCGCTGTACATCTTAGTATCCACACTCGAGTCGATAAAGGAGCTCGAACTTACGTTCAGTCTCCTAAGAATGGCCCTGAGTGGGACCATGTTGTCAGACGGGTAACGATGAACCTGGACGACAACACGATCATACAAGACACCAAGATTCGGGACCAGCCTACCGGACACAACTACAGCGCACAATTACCACATGGTGTTACCAACATCCGTGCTCGACTGTACTGGGAGCAGCCTGAATCGGCTCTCCTCGGACACGGGAGCCCACGTCCACGCTCACGGCGAGTGGCGATCATCGATGACGATCGCCCCCCTCCCCCTTTCGATTGAGCGCGGCCGCGTGCTCCCCTATTCCCGAATTTCCGACACTCAGTTCACCTGGGACTGAACAAGAGACAGCATTACCAAGCGATGCCAGAATTAAACAAATAGAGAAACAGAAAGCAGACAAAGAAGCAGGCATCAACCCACGCAAGATACCCAAGATAGTCGAAGAAGGCAACGACGACTGTGGAGATGACCTGAAAGGACTCGGGTGTAGTGCGTACTACACCGACGTACCTCTTGACTCCGACACGGAAAGTGATGATGCAGAGGAAAGTTCAATCGCGCTATTTGCGGGGCAACCTGCTGAATCCTACGCAGCTGTATTCTCCAGAATCCCCATTTTGTGCTATGGACGTCACAACGAGGTGGATATGCTGGAATTGCGTGGAGGAAGTGGAGGCATCTCTCAG